AAAATAAACTTATTTTAATGTTTGAAGTAGGTGGGGGTATGGAAACAATAGGGAAAAAAAATAAGAGGGGATGGGGATAGAAAACCCAAAAAAAAAAAACTTCCATCTCATAATTGAGGGTAGAATGAAAAATTAGAGACTTACTTTTGAAAATGGACACTTACTTCATGACAAAGTAAAATAGTAATATGGACATTTAATTTGGAACGGAGGGAATAGTTATGGTGAGAACGGTAAAAAATAATCTTCATSCTTGAATCAATCATAATTGAAGAAAAACACTAGATCAACATTAATGAGAAGAACTAGATTAATTCTCTTTCAAAGCACAATTCATTGATTGTTTTGAAATTAAAACTGACCCAGAGTCCAAATCTCTTTCTTATGTTTCTCATTTTAACTTTTATTCTCACACGATCTTTCGTCTAACACTTTATACTAATATTTTATATATTTCATTACCAATGAGATTGTATTGTTATCACTTTAAACAAAGTGTATTGGAACGATAAATTATAGAATATTATAACAATATAATTTATGTTAAAATCTCCAAAATAGAGAATATGTTAGAGTTGAATGTAATTCTTTTTTTAGATATTTTAACTTTTGGTTCTTTATTTTAAAGAAATTATAACGAACCTGTTGGAGATGGTCTTAGATGTTACATTTATTAAGGCTGTAATTGAACCACCATTTTTCTACAATCTATAAGCAAAATTACCTGTTATTACACGTTAACTTGAATTACTAGACTTGGAGTATATAACTAACTTCTACATGAAACTTGTTTTGAACTGTACACTTGTTTTGTAACTTGGAGAACGACCCTATCCATGACATCCACTTTTTAATTAGGATTTTTGCAAGAGGAACAAGTTCTACTTGTATATAATTTCTCTCTCCCTCTCCCTTTCTCTGTATATATTCGGAGAAAGAGAGGTTCAAATGAGAAATAGCCCAAATCACTTGTAATTTTACAATGAAATCACATATGATTACAGAACACAATCAACGGAAGGGTGTGTAAGTGACGTGACCCGCRACTCAAGTCGCAACCAATGTTGCACTGTAAGCACATGTGATTTCATTGTAAATTCACATACCCTATTTTTGTGTTTTCTTTATTTTCTTTTGAACCCCAATTCTCCGCATATACATAATATATAGAGAGAAGTTCAAATGCATATCGAATTTCGGTTGTGAACCGGGGAACAAAGGAGAGCGAGACACGTGTCCCCACGTCCACATTCAGTATGAATGACAAAGGTGAATGTTCATGAACTATTATGAAACATGTTACAACATTCATGACGAGTAATATAATATTCATGATGAATGCTATACGATCATGATCCATGTTAAATTGATTTACTATTCATGATGAATAATACACTCATGAAGGTGTGAAATACGTGTTGAGCTCTCATTTGTCTCTCGGTTCACAACCGAAAATCATTTTTCATTTGAACYTGTCACTGTATATATTTATGTTGATGGTTAAATGTCCCCAACTTCCAAGAATGGAGTTGTTTATGTTGCAATGGTAGTTATGGATGATTGAGTAGAAAAGAGTAGGTGGATTAGTTTATATCTAGCAAAGGGTGTTTTAAAGAGGAAGTTGGAAATGGAAAGCCAAACATAGGAAGGATGGGTAGATGTTGTTGTGGGTGGTTGTGAAGGAAGAATGGAGGAGGTGACACTTGTAGCCTTCTTATTGGCTCTCACCTTTCTCCTTACTTCTATTTGTTTACCAATAAAAACATCATATCACTTGGTTGGTCATCCCTTTCCTTTCCCTTCTTTTAAACTCATTTTTTTTTATGAATTTATTATTATTAATCTTTTTTAGATTTTTTTTTACAATTAAAAAACTCGATCAGTTTATTGATAAAGTTTGATAATTATCAGTTAAATATCTGATATACCTCTATTAAAGTAAACAAAGCTTGTAATTGTAAAAACTTAAGCCAAAAACAACAAACTGACTCAATAACATACAGATCAGCTAAAAACATGATGAAAATTATTGATATCATATAATTTTAAGCTTATAGGAAACTCACAATTTACTTTACTATCCATGTGAGACGGGTTGTTACGCAATCAAAACACAGTTTTATTGATATTTCGACTTCATCCTTTATGGCTAAACAATGTGTTTTATCTTTTATATGTTGACAAATTTTCTTCTTATTTAGTGGTTTATAAGAATATTTTATGTTTATTAACGGGCTAACAATATTTGGCTAGAATTTAGGGGCCGTTTACCAAACGCTTACTCGGATAAGCGCTTACCAAGTCACATGACCTCACCGGATGAATATGATAATAACCAAGAATGTTATCCCAGTAAGAGCGAGACAAGGACCAAGGGTCTTACTCGGTAAGTGAGGGCGACGACTTTTACCATGGAGAGCGCTTACCGAGTAAATTGTTGCATACGATGTCGTTTTTATGAACTAAAATCTTACACGGTAAGTAAATAACACTGCTAAATTTTACCGGTAAGCGTTTACCGAGACGACTGATGCCTCAAACCCATGGTTTGTCGGGTAAATGTTTGATAAACGACCCCTAATAAGTAGGTTGTTTGTTTATTCCAATGGAGTAATTAAGACATGTATGAAACAAAATAGTTGAATGTGAACGATATATAAATGATAACTTATTCAGCTCAATAATTACCTTGTAATTAAACGACTTCTTAATTAATAAGCCAATTAACTTAATAGACAAATTATTATGATTATTTAAAACCATGAAACTCATGATTTACTAAATATAATATATTAATATTTTTAAATTCACTTCTTGTCATTTACAACTAAAAGGGTAGGTAAACTTGAAAAATAGATGGAAGATCGTTTATGGAAAGGGTATAAATGGAAATGGAGCAGAGAAAAAGGCATACGTGAGAAGTTTAACTCTCAATCTATCATTTTTATTTCAAAAGGGCGGAAGAGGTTCACCCAACCCAAACCCAACCTATCCACATTCCCAACTCCGCTTCACTTCTTCCTATTTTACTTCTTCAATATGTTAAATGCCTATTATACCCTTCTCATCAATAAAAAAAAAAGTAAATTACGCTTTTCATCCCTGTAGTTTGTTAAAAGTTATAATTTTCGTCCTTGTGGTTTAGATATTACGGTTTTCATCTTTATAGTTTATAAATCGTTGTTATATTCGTCCTTATGGTCTATAATTTATTGTTGTTTCAGTTTTAATGGTTTATAATTCTTTGTTATTTTAAATAGTTCAAGAACGAATATAACAATAAACTACAAACCATAGGGATGAAAACYATAATTTCTAAACTACAGCGACAAAAATCACAATYTTTAACAAACCATAAAAATGAAAAATGGATTTTTCTCATAAAATAAAAATAATATARAAACATGACGTATTTTTATTTTGTGGTTGTCAAATAATATAACATTCATTAGCTCAGTTTAGAAATGGACACGATAACTTTTGTTCAAATACAAGACAAGTTCAGATTTGATTTCGGACCCCCTTACAAGCCTCAACAGCTGAATGATAAAAAAAAATACCACATCACACAKTGTCTTTAGATGTGGGTTTCATACGGAACTGGTTGAGGTTTCCGATAATCAACTTTTTGTTCAAATATAACGTTTTTTTTTTGAAAAAAATCATTAAATTCATGATACGAYTTTTAGAAAACTGATTGTAATCTATGAGTTTTTTTATTTAAATATTATTAGTTGATTTTTTTTATTAAATTATATTACAATGTTCGATGAAGTTGTTTTTGTTTAAAAAAATTAAAACCCAAAATAATTTCGATTTAGATGATCAAGAAAAGTTGTATAAAGGTAATACAAAACAACTTAAATTGAAGTTCAAATCAAAAAATTTATCAACTTTTTTTTATTCAATTTTTTAGGTCCATTTCGAAAAAAATGTGAGTAAACCCATCAATTTTTTGTGGGCCCATTCCATAAAAAAATAGGTATTTTGCTCATAATTATTGTGTAAAATGTTGGTGTCTTAGTTCCAAAATAAATGTTCATAATGAAAAAAACATAAAATTTTATAAATGTATAATTATTACACTTTTTAATTAACAAATGAACATTTTTACCCTTAATTATAGAGGTTTTTTTTCCCTTCATATCAAAATTAGGGTCGTTTACCTAAATATATATCCGGTAAACATTTACCGGTAAAATTCAACACAATCGCTTATTTACCGGGTAAAATTTCAATCTACCAAAACACTTTGTATATAACAATTACTTGGTAAGCGCTAATCGTTGTAAGAGTCATCGTCATCACTTACCGGGTAAGACTCTCGGTCCTTGTTTTCGCTCTTACCGGGTAAGGTTGTTGGTTCTTGACATATTCATTCAGTAAGGTAATATGACTTGATAATCTGTTACCCAAGTAAGAATTTGATAAACAACCCCTTAATAATATAGACACTTACTTTAAAAAAGAATATTAGTTTGTGTTAATTTGAAAAAAAAATGGTGTTATTAATAACCATAAATATAAACTACTAAACCATTTATAACTTTAATGAAATAATCATCTGGTAATCTAATTTTGATTCTCAAAATAAATGCAACAAAAAATAAAAAGGGCAATTATGGTAATTCGTGTAGTAGAGGGATAATTCAATTTTGATTCTCAAAATAAAGATAATAAAAAAATAGAAAAGGGCAGTTATGGAAATTCGTGTAGAAGAAGGAAGCGTGGATGCCACGCGCTCATGAGGAGAGTGGAAATATGAAGTTAATAATTTACGGAGAAAATACAGGAACAGTGTCCGTCACTATAAAACCCTCTCCCTTCATATACAAGGGGTGGCAACTATAAGTAGTTACATTGCAGGTTTGGAGTTGGAAATCCACATCCTCTCTAACTCTTCTTTCCCCAAATTCACCATCAATCACTCTCCACTTGCAGAATCGATCGAGTATGGCTGAAGAAGAAGCTGATAAAATTGTTGATTTTGATCATGAAGCAGGAGACGAAGGATTGCCATGGCTTCCGAGTTGTGTTTTAAACGAAAGTATTGAAGTATGTGGAGAAGACAATCATCATTTTTATTCCAAGGTATATGCATATATATATATATATATACATACATACATATATATACATACACACACACACACACTCAGTTTTTTAATTTTGTTTGGTTTGAATGCAATCGAGATTCGAGATGCATATATCCGTTCTGTTTCCGATCGATGATTTCTTTTCAGCTTGTGGAGAGATCTAATTAGTATTACATGAATCATGAATGATTCTCGCTCGTATTTTGATTATTGGAATGATAACAGCAACGGAGTTATAATAAGCATAGACATCAACCTCCGKTTGGTCGGAAGTCACCGGCGACGACTGCCGTGCAACCTCCGTTGCTTCCGTCACCACTGGTACTTTTTTTTTTCTTCATACATCGTCTATTGTACACATACAACTCATCGAGAGAGAATTAATAGAATCCTGTTTTGGAGAGGGTTGAGATTCCTGAAGATTCTAATAGGCGGATTAGACATAAATGATTATCATTCTTAAAATAGTCAACTTGATATAAATATTAATGAATTATGCATACGGCTTATATTAGATCATGATTCATGTCGTTCATATTTCATAGCCAAAATGCATATAATTATATGGATCATGCGGTTGCATTCGAGCTTTGGATTACGTTTTTACCAACACTTGATGATGATTGTCAATGAATATATTGAAAAATGTAAGTTGGAATCATGCATAAAAAACATGATATTTTCTTGAAATAAATTAAAACAAAAATATATATAATATTAAATAAAATATTTCCTATGTACCAAATTAAGTACCCATATATTTATTTTTACTTTGTTTAAAAACAAAWTTTCATTTAATAAAAACTTTTAAAAATTAATTTTTATGCATTAAGTACTCTTTATTATGCATAATACTTAAAATTCAAGATTATAAGTAAATAGTATATGTGTACAACTTACTAAAGCTTCATGTTTGAATTCGTATAAATAACTACATATAAACATAATCAAATACCGAACAAGTATCTTATTTTGAATATAAAAAATCTAAAATATATTTASAATAATCATTGAATTTTAACGAAATACTAATTATTATCTTTATAAAAAAGTTATATTATTAAACCAAAAATAAATGACTTCATTATTAAATCGAAATTAAAATAATAATAAAAATTTGAATWAAAGAWWTTACACAAAAAGAAACAAGAACTTTCAAATATTTAATTTGATACTAAAATCACTGTATTTTTTTTAACTATTTTATGATACCTTCACATTTATATTTTATTCAAAAAAAATAAAAACATTATTGTTTTTCAGTACCATATAAAAATCGTATTATAATATCGACGAAGATAAAATAAAACAAAATATTAAAATTGAGATATATATCATTATAATTTATGAGTACCTTTCTAGTTTATTTTAAAAGAGAGGTGGGAATAATAATTTGTTTCTTAAATATGTGTTGAACCTGTGACTATGAAGTTTTTGCGTAAAGCACTTAAAATAATAGAACCTGTGTTTTGCAGTGTTTAGGTGGTGATGCCCATGTTGGTCATTTATTCGTCTTTTAGTATATGGATTCTATTCCCTAGAACATAAAAAAAGAAACAATATTGCACACAAATCAAGCAACTTAATCAACCAATAATAAGTTAACAAGTTAAACATCGTGATCAACATAATAAAAAGATTCTAAATCTCTCCAATGAGGTTAACATTATTGATTCTATATCTTCTCTATGATCATACATTGTACTTCAATCATGCCGAAGGTAAGTTAATTGAGAGTTTGTATGGATTTCTATATAGAAAGAAAATTTTAACGTCGGTTTTTACTTTAATTAATTTTATTTTGTGTCTTTAATCAGCATCGGAAGATTTTTTCGAAGCCGGATAAAAAACCCAAACATATTGCAAATTGGGCAACCGGAGGACCTGGTATGCAAGCTGTATTCCTAGATTCTGGCCAAAGATCATGTGGTACCGGAGTTTTCCTTCCCCGTACGGCAGGAACCGATTATGTCGAAAAACCCAGAAAACCAGGTAACCTTTTGTCATGATTCTCAATGGTTGGTGGGAGAACACTCACCATGTTTAACCATACCAGAGAGTTAAAAAAAAAACAATTTGTTAAAAGATTAAAATGAATAAACTCTCAGGGTGCCTTTGGTATGTGGACAACACTGTACGAACATTATTGAAGTAGGCTGAGTAAAAAAAAAAAGTGGATGGTTTTAGGGTTAATTTGACACAAATAGTTTAGTAATTCACCAATCTTGTCTTTATCTCCCTAATYTATGTTCYATCTATTTTGGTGGGATAAAGAATAACATATTTGTCGTACTTTACATCTATCGTCCTTGTCCTAGTTTAATTTGTGTCAAACATTTTTTTGAGTAACTATGAGTATCCGAGTTAACCTACACACACTGACTAATATCTCAAACGACCACGAATGACTTGGAGTCCTCGAACCTCCATGGCCAWAACATAAGGGCTTTTCGCAGTGCTTGGATTTGAACCATGGAAGATGATTTCCACTTCCCCTTTGAGCCTTAAACAGTGGGTCAACCCAAATGTGAAACACGAGACAATAATTATTGTTCAGTCTTTTGTACCGAATGCACCCTCAAAAATAAATCATGCATGGGTCAAATTATTGGTCTCGGGATAATAGATACATTTACTTATTTGATCATTTGGCACGGCTATTTACAGCATTTGCACCCGTTCTCCTTCCGTCTCGTGTGGTACAAGCTTTGAACCTCAACGTGCATGGATTAGGCTTGCAAATCAAGCCACGAGGTATACTTAATTAATTGATTCTTAATTATGCTCGACCATTAGCCTTTTGGAATYGTACTTTTCTACCATCGATTTGTTAATTTCAACCACTAATTAATTACATTGCCGATATATATATTTCAGATCATAACAATAATATAAAGGGGATAGAATGCCATCGAGTTAGAAATAATAAGAAGACCAAAGATTCATCGAACCAAATATGTGTCATCTCTCAAAACCGAAGTTCTTCACCGGAAATATTTCTCCCCAAGGAATGGACCTACTAAAACCACATTGGCTATATCATTACCRTCCCCAATTCATAAAATCCCATTGGATTGTATACCTAATGCTCTCGATCGATTAATATTCGATTGTGTATTTGAATCGAATAAGAGTACGTACCATTTATATTTCCCCATAAATTTGGTACCGAATAATCAAGTTCTAGTTTGTGACCGAGCTCGTCTTCTAACATCCCCTATCCTGATCGGCTCGTTGTATTGTAAGTTATTTGTAACGGGCTATTGGTTCAATTAAAATCATGGTCGTAGTCGTGTTARTAATCGGTTGGAAGAATCTAGTGTTTTTTTTATTTATGTTTTTGGTATATTTTGATGTGGGTAATTTAGTAATTTATCAATTTTGTCRATGGTGTAGTTTAGTAATTTATTAAATTTGTCTCGGCTTCTAAATTTTTGTACTACCGATTTTGGGTGGACAGAGAATATGTATTTTTGACTTACACAGTCCTGTCTTGTCTTAATTAAAGATACACAAGACCGAACCTTTTAAGATTGCTTTCAGTGAGCAAAAAAGGGTCCGATTAGGTTTTTTCGGCCCAGATCTAACTCCACAATATCATTCTGATCGAGCTTTACGATCTGTCCCAGACTGGGTTTCGGGCTCACTAGGCCTGGGCTCTGGGTTGCGCTTCAAAGGTTATGCATCACCAGTCTCAGTCTAACGTCACACCAAACATGAACAAGTTTTTGTAATATTATGTGTCGCTTATCAAACGCGTTCTGAAAGAACTTCGTTTACCAACTTCAAGTTGTGGAAAGAATTAGTTGTGTTTGGTCACCGACTTAYGTTACAATGATCAATTTAATTCGTAACGAGGAGTTGGGGTGTCTTTTCAAATTCTACATAGACGAAACAGTGAGAGTTAACCCGGTTTTTTCAATGAGAATAAAACCATCAAGGGTTTATTCAGCCATTTATTGTAAGTGTGGGGTCTTTTCCACAAACTTTATTCCATAAGGATCCGCTCCTGAAGAGAACCCGGGCTAACCTTTGGATCTGAAAATAAGTTGGATTACGCTTTTCCCCTTCAGAGTTCAGCCTGACTTTGGAGAAAAATTGGCCTAATCAGGCGGTCGTTTCCAGGGCCTGGTCTCAGGCTTGCTAGGCCGACCAGTGGGCCCCATATTTGCTTTATTTTTTAACCTTTATAACACACGATACACGTGGAAGCAAATCAGAGGGTATTTGATCATTTATTTATTTCCTTTAGTGCATGTCAACAAAAAATTTAAAATTTAAAATATAAAAATATAAATTAATCTATAGAAATTTATTCATTTTTAACAGAATTTTAGAACATCTACAACAGATTCTCTAAGAATTTTTTAAAATGAAAAATAAAAGTTCAAAATCTCTAAATAGAATTGCATTCAACTCCTACCAATTTTTYATTTTGAAGATTACATCATTGATTATATTATTAAAATATTTCATACATTTAATAAGAAATAACTTCTCTCATGATAATCATTTTTGAAGAGTTTCCCGTTACAATTCTCTCATAATTTCTCTTTTTAGAAAAAAATAAATGGAGAATCTGTTGGAGAATTAAATTGCGCAAAATCCCTCTTAGATTTTCATGGATCATGAATACAAGAACTCGAGTGACTTCGGGATTCATSAACGACCTTTTCTTCCATTCGTAAAACGACAAGAATCAACAACCGTTCTAAAAGAACTTCGATTCAATGAGAGCATAATAGGCAAAAAAACATGAGTGTTTATATATGCACATAATACATGATTTCTACTTCAAAATTTCACCAAGTGTTGTAGTAGAAAAGCCGGAATCAGCCCCTTTGATCCGTCTTATGGGATGTGTTAAGCTGCATTTTTCCGCTCTAAAAAGCTCTTCGTAACTTTTCTTCAACGATGACCCCCGTCTACAATTTTTTATTGCGAACTCCCATCCGTCTTGTTGGCCTTTTAGGAGCTGTAAAACCTGCATACATTATACCATTAATCCATTGTCACTAAAGCCGTGCTTTTGGCATTAGACAGAAAATCGTGTGAGAATAGGAGTTAAGGTGAGAAACGTAAGAAGRGATCCGGACCCTTGATCGCTTTTAATCTCACCCCCACCCTATGAATTGCGCTTATCACGAGAATTGATCMGTATTGTTGATCTAAGGGTGAGATCCCCTCTTACCTTTCTCACATGAACCCAACCCTTTGGCACCATTGGAGTTTATGTATCAGCTATCTTATTTTTTGAGCTTATTAAAAAAAAGACAGGTACTCGGTTCGATCCYAGGCCCCTCCACTAGCCTCAGCCATTGAGCAAGTCGGTTATGTCGGTCTATTTTTCCAATTAATTTTTCAACATGTCCTTTAAGATAGTTTACATCGTAATCTAGCTTGTCACTAATTTTTTACCAAATATGATTAAATTATCGGCTAACAGCTAATTTATCGACCAACAACCAGTAATCAGCTGGTTTGCCAAACAAGCCCAACCCTTTCAGTCACTGGTAGCATAAAGCCATGTTGCTAGATCGAACCCGTTCAAAAAGATAAGATCGTATTTTGACTCTTTTCTGAAGTTGAAATAACGGGATTTGGGTACTTATCGCCTTCTATAKATCAAATATTAACGAGAAAGACTTGAAATATCAAATAAGAGCAACATGCCTGGTTCATATCGGGCCGTCGAATGGATGATCGTTGGATGCATAAAGACGCAGCCAAAACCATGAGGTGCAATTGYCGTGTGTCACAATTGTCGGCAAGCGAAGGATCGACAAGCTCTCGAACGTTGTTCTTTCTGAGCAAYGGTTTTGCCTGTTGAGGTAAATCGATTGTTTTTTATTAGTAAATAAGTAAATCTTTAATTCCAYAGGCYTGAAGATAACAGTCAGAAAAATCCTTGTGGGCCTTGAGATTACTCGAACTGGCGACCAAATGTTAAAGGTGCGAGCAATTCAATCCGGATAATTCTGGGCCTTATCTGGCCCTGAAGAAAATCCGGACCGCTCCGGGCCTTATTTGGTCAGGAAAAATCCGGCCAAACCAGGCTTTTTTTGGGACCGGATAATGCAGCTAATAACATTGGATGAATCATACCCATAAAACAAGACTTTGTTGCGAGTAATCTAGAGCTCTACGACCGCTAATAAGTTCCAACAACAATACACCGAAYGCGAAAACATCGGTCTTTTCATCGATTATGCCATGCATCAAGTACTCGGGAGCCAAATAACTACAAAAACGACAAATTTACTTGCATTTATCAATCACAAAACTCGTTTTTACAGCTAGAAAAGATCTCTAAAACAGTATTGAAACATACGAACCCAAATGTGCCTTCGAATCTCGAAACGGTATGATGAGTCCAATGCTCCGGCAGCCATTTCGCGAGCCCGAAATCACAAATCTGAATCGAAAACGGTTACCTTTTTGTGTCCAAAGCTTCCAAAACACACCTTAAAAGTTACATATTTTTCTACTTTTTAGAGTAATTTTTTGTGAATTTTAGAAAGTTTTCAGCATTGACGGTTAATCAAACCAAACAAACCCACTATATTCCATCYCAAGGTGGGGTCCATGTAGGCCAGAGGGTAAGATATMGAGATGCACTGGGCCCGGGCCTTCCAAGCCCGTTTCCAATGACCAAAGAAGCCCCAAGATTTAGTCCTGGCGCCAGGCTTAGGGGTTGAAAAAGGGCTAGATCGGGCTTTTCAAGTCTTTCTCAAGACGGGCTAGATTTCAGCCTGATTGGGTTTTAAGGCCTAGCCCGGACAGAGCTTCGGGCTCACTAGGCCCAGGTTTTTTCAGACCGAGTCTGGGCCAGCCTTCGGGATTGGGCTTTTTTGTGCATATGTTGTAAGACATATGCAGACTTGACCCCTTTCCCTGAAGAGTACAATAGTTGTTTTCGTGAAAGCTTACAAAAAGTGTGATAAAGAGAGAAAGTCATATATGATAAAAGGTTTTGAAGCTTTTCAACAACTAATAAAACAATTATATATAGAGAGAGGTGGTTTATCATACAAACCAATACATTGTTACAAMCCAATCTGAACCGTCCATCTAGTCTAATGAATTTGTGGTTCCATAGAATATCTTGATTATTTCCAATTATAAAGCGTTGATTATAATTAATTAACTCTAATMATCTTTCATAAATATTCAAATTATAATAAATGAACTCTCATCATTTCCATAAAAATCTCAGTTAATTGGTTTGTATAGTATGTAAAAATGACATGGTTTGTATTTGAAACCTCCTCCCTCTCTATACACACACACAGACACACATATAGAGGGAGGTTCAAGGAAAAACCCCTAAAAAATGAAAAATTAAGAAACACATGTTTCTGGTAACCATTCATCTGGACGGTATGCACATGTGCATACAAGTACATGAAGTTGTTTCTTGGTATTTATGTACGTGTGCATGATATATCTATGCATATGTGCATACTGGTCAAATTGCTTAGAAATTACTTGTATGAACATGTGCATACCGTCCAAATGAATGTTTATCAAGATGTTCCTCAGTATTTCATTTTTTGTGGTTTTCCCATGAACCTGACCCTACACACACACACATATATATATATATATATATATATATATAAAGTAGTTAAATTTGGGCTTACTTGGGGTTCAAAGTCTTCTGTAAGCAATATATTTGCAGCCTTGATATCTCTATGGATGATTCTCCTTTGACATCCTTCATGAAGATAAAGTAAACCTTCYGCTGTTCCTAAAGCAACCTTATATCTAATGTCCCAATTCAGTTTCTCCCTCAATGCTGTCACAAGAATCCAAAATTCATTAAAAAATCCAAACTTTTAACAGCAAAATGCATCAAAATGAATAATGTTTGGTTTATTTCCTATTTAATGCAACAAATATTTTTTCTCCATCGATGTAATAAAGTTTCAAATTTTCCTATCTTCTACCGATTTTGACCAAGTGGGAAGGCTAAATATCGTGAGAAGGTAAGAAGACAAGATTCATATGTGAATGATTGAAAAATTCCATTTGAAGATGCATATGTAAACCCATATGAATAATCTGTAACGTTGGTTCACATATGCATCTTCAAATARAGTTTTTTCAATGGATTCAGATATGAACTTTTCCTTAACCTTGCTTTCTTGYCTTCTCACGATATTTAACCTTCAGATTTGAACCGGCCCCAACTGTTGATCTTGTAACATTTGATGACGTGAATGCTAATTTACGGTGAAGTGGACGAGAAACTTGCCATCCACGTCGTCAAATGTTACAAGATCAACAAGTTAGCGGTCAAAATGGATAAGAAATAGAAATTTTGAAACTTTCSTACATTGATTATGAAACATCCTACGCTAACTGTACCAGATATTGTCCATTTTGTCCTTACMTGGACTCACGGTTTCAAAACGCGTCTGATAGAGGAAGTATCCGGTCCCTTATAAGGCAACCTTTATTCYCTTCCCAACCGATGTGGGRTCTTACAATATTTAAAAATTTTATTTGTTATAGKAAATAGGAACTAAGGCAAACTTTGTTGCATTTTGATGCATTTTATCCAACTTTTAATCCTTTTGAATTCAAGAAAAGGGTAGGATCGAAACCAACTAACCATGAAGCCATGAAGCTAAACTACCATTGGGAGATAACTCAAGAACAAGATGCAATCCTCCTTCAACACCATAACCGATCAATTTGGCCGAGTTTGGATGGTTAACATGAGCCATTATCCCAAGCTCGGATAAAAAGCTCGCGGTTCTTTCMTCGATAGGGCCTCGTGTGAGTTGCTTAACAGCGACAATTTGCCCATTTTTCAAAACCCCTTTGTAAACCTCGGCATAACCTCCCTTTCCAATCATGTTTTCTGAAAAGAAATCGATAATTGTAACTACAACGGGGGTTATTTAGTTAAACGACCTTCTGACATTTTCTTAGAAAAAATCCATAACAACAAAACGAGGTATCCAGGTATATAACCTTAAATGAGATTTAACTAAATCCATGACATTCTGATGAGTATGAYGTCATTTTATCTTCAATGGCCAGAAGGTCATGGCTAAAATCCCAATTAAGGTTAAGTACCTAAATGACCCGCTTTHAGAGAAGGTCATTMAGCTAAATAGTCCCAAACAAAATCCCTTTTCCAAACACAAGGACGCCTAGAAACCCGCAAAATAGGTTATTCGGCTAGTGGTTGCRATTAAAATCTTGAAAATTGGATAAATTTTGAATCTTGAATGTGAGAATATGTGAAACCCCATATTACTCTCCAAAAGAGCCMTTGAGGAGAGAAAGGAGGTGCCAACATATACACAGGAGAATTGATCCAAGTCTAGCCAATGTGGGACTCTAACATGCCCCCTCAACARAGGCTAGATCGGCACAAGTTGTTCTAGAAGAGTGGGTATATTTAAGTATATAACCTTAAATGAGATTTTAATCAAATCCATCACCTTCTGACGAGTATCAAATCAAACCATTTTTTCTCTAATAGGCCAAAAGGTCATAGGTTTGTCCAATGTGCATAATATGATCCTGWCGAACGGTATCAAGGTGTTCCTCAGTTTTTCATTTTCTTTAACAGTTTTCCCTGAAACTATATATACATAGGGATCAGGTTCAGGGAAAACCGTAAAAAATGAAAAACATCTTAGCAACAATTCATCTCAATAGTTTGCACATGTGCATACAAGTAATTTGTTTGCAATATTGTCCAATATGCACATGTGCATAACATGCACAAAACCAAAAACCAACTTCAATTACTTGTATGCAGTGCATACCGTCCAGACGATGATTACCAGGATATTCCTCAGTTTTTCATTTTTTTTGGGGTTTTCCCCTAAACCTCCATCTCTGTCGAGGGAGGTTCAGGGTAAAACCCCAAAAAAATGAAAAACTGAAAAACACTCTTGTAACCATTCATCTGGACGGTATGCACACAAGTAATTGAAGCTAGTTTTTGGTTTTATGCATGTGTGCATCTTATGCACATGTGCATACCGGACAAATTGCTTCCAAGTTACTTGTATGCACATGTGCATACCATACATACGGTTGTTCCTTAGTTTTTCATTTTCTTTTTGCAGTTTTTCCTGAACCTGACCCTGACCCTACACATACACAGAAAAAAAAATTGGTCCAAAGTTTGAATCTTGAAAGACGAAATCTAACCATTTGAGAAGTTGTTGGTGGCAGATTGTAACTGAGAGAAAGTAAAGTTCTTCCAATGAGGCTTGAAATAGTTGATATCTGGTGCAATTGGAGATGATGATGATGATGATGATGGTTGACCAACAACTATACCTCCTATTTGTTCTCTAAAACTACTACTTAATCTTCTTGAAAACTGCAATCCACTGCTGATTGGATGAAATGTTGGTAAACATCTCTTTGATTTGCTTCTAATGAGATGAACAAAATCTATCCATTTGGATGAAGCCTTTTGATCTTCACTTCCTGATGTGCTTTCTTTTGAAGATATTGTATCAGATTCTAAACTTCTCAGATAATCTTCAAGAACACCAGTGGGTGAATAACTATTTACTTTCACCTTCTTCATATCAACAAATCTGCAAAATTAAACATTTTTGGTTAATTTTTTTTCATGATTTGCAGTAAAAACAGATGAGAACACACCAACACACATCTAATATCCAAAAAAGGACCATTGTTTTCCATGAATTACTGTAAAAAGACATGAAAACACACAAACCCACTTCCAATATCCAAAGTAATACCATTGTTTTCCATGAATTACAGTAAAAAGACATGAAAATACACAAACCCATTTCCACTATCCAAAGAAATACCATTTTTTCCATGAATTACTGTAAAAAGACATGAAAATACACAAACCCATTTCCACTATCCAAAGGAATACCATTTTTTCCATGAATTACTGTAAAAAGACATGAAAACACACAAACCCACTTCCAATATCCAAAGAAATACCATTGTTTTCCATGAATTACAGTAAAAAGACATGAACACACACTAACCAATACCCAAAAATAAAGAGACAATTTACCCCCTTTTCTATACCACAAAAGAGCTGCCAGTTTGTTAAAACCTAATCCCCAGGTGACAAATGGTAAAAGATCAAGTCATCAAGATATGATACGACAAACCCATGAACCTTAAACAAAACCTTTTGGAAAAAAAGGGCAAAAATTTGAAGAAAATTAAAAGAAAAGAGGGGAAAATAGGCGTTATGATACACCAGGAGACAATTCTTTATACAAAAGAGATGTGCACCAGATTGAAAAAGAAAAAGWGGGCATAAATCTCAAAAAAAGTGTGAAATTGAACACAAGAATCGAGGGAAACCCATTGAAATGAAAACTCCATGACATGAGAAAAAGAAAACATGCGAGTAAATGGAGGAGACAAGCGAACATATACACATGCTGGTAACTTGTGTTTATGGGTACCTGWAACAAGCATGATTCATACATACATATCCTCCCTCATGTTAACTCAAAAACTGAACAACCCATTTATGATGCACCTTTGCATACAAGTAATATATATAAGCGATTTGTCTGATAACATACATAAGTGCATAAAAACCAAGAACCAATGTTTAGAAGAATAGTTACGAGGATGTTACTCGGTTTTTTAATTTTTCAGTTTCCCTTAAACTCCCTCTACATATAGCATATAAATAGGCACATAGGTCAAGTTCCGGGGAAAACAACAAAAATTAAAAAGTGAAAAACATCCGGAAACCATTCATGTGGATGATATAAACATGTACACATTGCATACAAAAAAAAACGCTTCATTTACTTGTACGCTCGTGTGCATGATGAATTATTATCCGGTGTTATCCAATTTCTATTTTTATGGTTTTCAAAAAACCTTCCTCTATATATATATATATATATATATATATAAGAGATTGTGAAACAGAATTGGGTACATAGAGACAGGAAAGAGGGTTTTGACCAACATACCATAAAGAAAAAGCTGAAGATTCTGGTATAGATGGCGGAAGATGTCCCAAAACAGAGGAGGGGGAAACCCCAGAAAATGGAGAAGAGAGAGAGAGAGAGAGAGAGAGAGAGAGAGAGAGAGAGAGAGAGAGAAGATGGAGTCTAGAGTAAGAAGGCTGCTGATTGCTAGTTGCTGTTTTCTGCTTGTTGGTTGCTGGTATGGCTTCATTATGGGCAGCTTTTATTTCAATTTTGGATTTTTTTTATTTCCAATTAAACATGATGGGATTTTATTATAAATTAAATTAAATAAAATAAAATAAAAGAAGAAGATAAGATGATTACTGAATTAAAAAGCAATTACAAGTTTCAGAGATTACTTCTTCAATAATTAATCAAGAAAACATGATGACTGAGTTATGATGTCTGGAGTGAGCATTACTCTCCTTATTTAATTAAAATATTATTTATATATATAATATTTATAACACTCGTGCACATCCATAAATAAGTTTTTTAATATTATAATTTGACAAAATAATTTTAAAAAATTAAATTTATTTTTTTTAATTTTTKGCAAAACGTAGAATTAAATTTTAAGATCTTCAAAATGATGCATTTAACTAGAACAGTTATTTTAAAGATTGCAATAGAGTATATGTTTATTAAAATATTTTATATCTATATTATATTATAAAATATTTGAATTAAAATTTAAAAATTATTTTTAATATATTAAGTATTGTTCAATKATGCATGTTTAAATTCAATAATACAAGTAAATAGTGTATGAGTACAGTTTTTTAGAGTTATATGTTTGAATTCACTAGAAGGATATTCGTGTAATATATCGAGACATATTTTCATTTCAATGTTTTGTTTTGTTTTTTATCCATGTCAGTATAATATGATTTTATGTGATTTTGAGAAAGCGATAACGTTTTTATTTTTGAATAAAATTTAAATTTGAAAATATCATATAGAATTTGTAAAAAATTATCAATATTAGTATCAAATTAACTATTTAAAAGTTATTGTTTGTGTATTTTTTTTAATTCAAAATTGTTATTATAATTTAATTTAACGTAACAAAGTAACTTAATTTAGGTTTAATAATACATTTTTTTATAAAGATAATGATTAAGTATTCTGTTATAACTCAATAATTATTCTAATTATTTTTTAGATCTTCTATATTTTAAAATGAGATGTTTATCCTCTATTTGATTATGTTTATCCACAGTTAATTACACGAATTTAAACATAGAGCTTTAGTAAGTTGTAATTATGCACAATTTACTTGTAATCTTTAATTTTAAGTAATATGCATCAATAAATAGTACTTTATGCATAAAAAAGTTTTTAAGAGTTTTTGTCAAATATTTTATAATATAGTATAGATATAGCTAACTGATAAACATAATCAAAAACAAGTTAAACATATCAATTTACAAAGAATCTAAAACATAGTTAGAATTGACTTC